AGAGAGAGAGAGAGAGAGAGAGAGAGAGAGAGAGAGAGAGAGAGAGAGAGAGAGATTAAAATACTTGTTCTCTAATACTTGATAATTAGATTCAATAGACTTTTTTTGAATTTCAAGTGACGTCTGGTTTAAAAATTTGAATTTCAATTAATAATCAAAAAGAAAAATGTGTTAAAAATGTTTATTTAAATTTAATTCATAAACAAATTTATGCATAAAAACTGTTTTGTATATCAAGTGAACGTCAAGTGTTTAAATATAGGTGTTTTGTTTGTATTTAATAGCATATTAGGGTTAACTAGTGTCTTAGATTAATTATTATGTAAATTAGCCGCTAATCGTTAAAAACATTAAGTTAAATTTTAATTAGACACATGTTATTTTAGACACTGTAAATTTAATAAATGCATAAATATATCATTTATATTGCATATAATTATCTAATTAATTAAAGGTAATAACGTTTTGAAAGTAATTTTATACTTGTATTTAAATCGCAAAATACAAAACAGAAAATACAAATTTATTAGTAATAATAATTTATTAATAATTTTTATAAATAAACTTTTATTTATATTTTGTTACAAGTGTGTTTAATTTTTTTTAATCTAATATACTAATCTATGTATGATTTGAAATGTATTTACCTACATAAAACTCTTATTTATTTCGCCAACAGATATAACAATACATTGTATTGTAAAATATATGTAAATTTTTTAAGTCGAGAATTAAGCAATTTTTCTCAATTTGTTTAGGAATTTAAAGTCTATATGAATTGAAATTAAATTTTGACACAATTTTTGAAAACGATTTATTTATTAATACTATATATAATTTAAACCATAGATTTGATGATAGATTGTAGGGATTTATAGTTAACGGCGAGACATAACTTGAATTACTGGAAAAAATTAAACAAAAATATCAAATAATAAATGAATTTTCTAATAATAGACACCGAAAAGCATGTGATATGTTTTTTATGCTCTCGTTTTTCTACATTCTCTCTCTCTCTCTCTCTCTCTCTCTCTCTCTCTCT